CTCCGTAATGCAGCAAAATTGCTATGTATATTACATCGCCTGAAGAGTTTTATGCCAAAACCTGACAGCAGAGCAAAAAAAGGATAATGACAGCTGCCTTCAACACACTGCTTGGCTTTTTTCACATCTCATAGAAGTTCTGTGGCAAAGGAAAGGGAACATTTTCAATTTAGTTCTCAGGGCTGTATTATATTGAGATTGACAGATAATTGAAATCATCTAACAGAAAAAAAGTCTCAAGATGGGAATTACAGTATTTCCACCTCTTTTAATATACTTCCTTTCTGACAAAGGAATTGTTTACCCAAAAATGTCCCTATTTACTCACTATCACGTCACACCTGTAATCTAATTTTTCCCATCGCTTCCAGTTTCACAACAACGTTTTCATGGCGCCGATGTGACATGACCAAACCTGACTGAATAGATGGAAGAAAAGCGACTTTCTGTCTGCTTGCTGACATATTACTTTAGAAGGCTTTAAACATAGTGCTCAAGTCATATAGGCAACTGCTTTATAGTGCTTTGACGAATTATAAACTGCTATGTGGAAAAGTGCTGCATGAAGATTCTTCAAAATTTCTGCTTGAAGCATGACTTTAAAAGAATTGTTCACCCAACAGTGAAAATGTAGTCACGCTCAGGCCATCCAAGATATTTTAATTTAGCATTACATCACTTGCTCACCAATGGATCCTCTGCAGTGAATGGGTGCCGTCATAAGGAGAGTCCAAACAGCTGATAAAAACATCACAAAAAAACACAAGTAATCCACACCACTAATCCATCAATTACAATCTTGTGAAATAAAAAGTTGCATGTTTGTAAAAAACATCAAATCTTTAAAAGAACATGAAATCATTAAACAAAAAAAACATGAAATCATTAAAAGAGTTTCAACTGCCGCATCTGAGTTCATAATCTATAATAACGCTTTCTACAGTGAAAAAGCTTATTGTCCTCTCACATGAAAATCCAAATAAATATTCATTTAGAATTGTTTTGTACTGTTTTTCTTGTAAACGGTGCTTGTGCATATTTCTCTCCTGATTCAGGTGAGATGACTTTTTACTGGAGAAAGCAAAATTACGGAGAGAGGACTTGTATTTTAGCCGTTAGTAAGTAAAAAAAAAACATCTTAATGGATTTTTTTATTACAAACATGCAGCTTTTCACTTCACAAAACATTCATTGATGAACTGGAGTGTTGTTGATTACTTGTGATGTTTTCATCAGCCGTTTAGACACTCTCAATCTGACGGCACCTATTCACAGCAGAGGATCCATCAGCGAGCAAACTTATTTAATGCTAAATTTCTCCAAATCTGTTCTGATTAATTCGGATGGCCTGAGGGTGGGAACATTTTCAGCAAATTTTGATTTTATGCATGAATTATTCCTTCAAGAGAATATTTCAGGTTCGATACAAATTAAGCACTTGTGGCATAATTACCAAGTAAGTCATTTTGTAAAAAACTTTGGGTTACAGTGTGATGCACTTAGAATGGAAGTTAATTCTGAAATGTTGTTGCCATGACAACATAATGCTTAAAACCTTAATATGACTCAATGAATACAGACGAATGAATGTTAATGCTTTTATAAGCTTAACAAAAACTAGCCCCATTCACTTCCACTGTAAGTGCCTCATATGATAATATATTTTTTCCTTCATGACATTTTATTACATTCTTTTTCTTAGAATGATACAGAAGATAGTATAGATGCGGTACAAGATACAGACACTTTTTTTTTTCTTTTTTTTTTGTACGACGCCTCATTCTGTTGGCAAACCTGAGCCTGTCATTCTGACTGTGTCACGTCTGAGCGCTTGAGAAACAGGCCGATTAGGTTTCACAGGGCCCCGCAGTTATGCAGCCATGTGCAAAGAGAGTGTTCGGAAAAGCATTTGATCTCAATTAATAGCACTCCCAATGAGATCAGCCTGGAAAAGCGAAGGGGGGAAATCTGGATTTCAGCAGATGTAGGAAAAGTGTTTTGGTTCTGCCACGGCACGACAAATTCAATAGTGAGCAAAACAAGATGAACAACTGGAAGCCCAGAGCCCATCTGGCCTTGTTATTGTCCTCCATTTATGTACTGCTTAACTTAATAAAATGCAAAGCATCATGGGCTGCGTTGCGATGCGTCAACAGGAAAGCTTTCTTATTCTCCAAGTGGGGTTGTTGTGAAATAAGTACAATGGAAAAAAATCTGCTGCCAGTACATCAGACTCCTTCCAGCTATTTTGGGGATAATTAAAGCTATAAATCACCACATCATCAAATGTTCAAGAATGTTTTTAATCACTCAGCAAAGATACACAATCGTTTGGCAGCAACTGTATCCTCATTTCTAATTAGCTTGTTTTTGGACAACAGAAGATTTTAATGTATTTAGATCTCGCACAGATTGCAAATGAAAACATGACTGTTGCCGGCATCTGCTGAAGAAATAAAAATAAATAGTGCATTTTAAAGACAAACACATCTTGTAACTCAGACATATGCATTATTTCTTCTTATTTAAAGTGATATCATACCCAAGATTAAGTGGACCAAAAAGTGCAGCCATGCATGTCTCATTAGGAAAGTTCTGAAATGGTTCATTAATGACTGTAAAAGTGTCACACTCCCAAAAATATCCAATAATTAACATTGTTTTAGTCATCAGTAAATAATATATAATAAGTATTCATATTTTTATTTACTAATCATATCATTATTTTATTTATTTGCTAATTATATAATAAATTACTTCTAAAATGTAAAAAAAATTAAATATAGTAAATCAGTAAATAATCACAATAAAGTTTTTAAAGCTAATTATTAGTGAAAGACCTGATAAAACTATGAAAGGATGTTTCTGGAGCAAGGATTTAAAAGAAAATAAATACAATAAAAAGTATTTGCAACTTTTATCTCACAATTCTGACTTTTTATTCTTGCAATTTTGAGTTTATGTCTCACAGTTCTGAGTTTTTCACAATTCAGAATTGCGAGCTATAAACTTCTGACTTTTTTTCCCTCACAATTACAAGTTTACATCTCACAATATAACATCTCACAAGTTTTTATCTCGCAATTCTGAGTTTTTATCTCCGCAAAAATAAAATGAATACAGTAAATCAGTAAATAGTCACAGTAAATAAAGTTTCGAAAGCAATTTATTAGTTATACACCTCATAAAACGTCTCAGGTTACTTATTTAATCATGGTTCCCTGAGAAGGGAACGAGACACTGCGTCCTCTAGGGGTCGCTATGGGAAACCTAGAGGACGCAGTTCGAAGCTCCCATGAAAGGGAACGTCTCAGGTTACTTATGTAACCATGGTTCCCTGAGTAGTGAAAGAGACACTGCGTCCTCTAGGTTTACCATAGCGACCCCTAGAGGACGCAGTTCAAAATTCCCATGAAAGGGAACTTCAGAAGCAAGTTCCTGGCACATGCAGGATGAAAAATAAATCATAATAATAAAATAAAATAAAATAAAATAAAAGCTCTTATAAATAAAACTTTTTTTCTCAGAATTCTGAGTTTACGTCTCACAAATCTGACTTATTGTAACTGTGAGAAAAAGTCAGAAATGTAAGATAAAATGTCAAAAATTACCTTTTTTATTTTTTATATATATGTTTTTGTTTTTTTTTCCCCAGTCATGTTTAGTTTACATGATAGCCTTGATCGGCTACTTGCAGTTTCTAGTCATCTCAGGTGCTATCAGGTGGAGGGACAATCTTATTCTACGGAGAATTTGATTGGACAAAAATTTATATATGCCTTTTAATGGTGCACTCTCTCCAGGAAATGAACATTTGTGCAACTTAAATACATATTTTAAATATATCTGCTAAAGGTTTGGAACATTTGTTAACCTTTAAGTGTAAACTAGCATCCAGATGACCCCATAAACATGAACTAAAAGCCACAATGGGCTCTTTAAAACCTATCCACAGTACTCCAGTAAGCAGGAAGTCATTCTTTAATGTACTCCATTGGCCAGCAGAGGGACTGTTGTTGTGTATGGGCTGAAAGGTCATCCAGCTCTTGGCTCAGGAATGACTCTATCAATTAGTTTGGAAACAAAAAGAACAGCTGCAAAACAACCCTCAAACTGTTTGAACATGTTCCCGGGTAAGCAGTTAACTTCACCGTCACATGTCAACACGGGGGTGGAAAGGCTAATGAAGAGCTAAATCAACAGGCCGTAAAACAACACAGAGGCATGGAGGAATATTGCTGTCATTTGATATTGCGCTGATTAAAAGGACCTGTTTTACCCATCAATCATAATCTGGTTAAGTATTAAATGTGCAGTGAGAGTTGAATGACATACGCTAAATTAATCATTCATCTTTATAATAACAATAATAATCTTTGATGTTATTCCGTATGCAGAATGTGCCTTGTGATGTGAAATAGTGTGCTCTGTAAATGGAAAATAAGAGCTTAGAGTTAAAAAAAAAAGAAAAAAAGATCAGCATTCTTTCATATGTACTGCGGGGGATATTTATAGTTATATGTGGGCTTTCTCAAATGCAGTGGAAAAGTCACTATTCAGCTTTAATAATACATCACTTTATATGGCAACTCAGCTATTTAGGCTGAGTTACACAGCGTTGCTATAGCGCTGGGCTACTTTCAGACAGCTAATGACTTGTGGGAAAGGTGCCACAAAAACCTTATACAAACAACTTAATTAGATATTCTGTTCCCTCCTTGACGTCCACAAATATGATCCCGAATTTCATCCGCATCATTTTATCTTACTGAATAAATCAAGAATGTCACCAGAAAGCCATTTATTTCTTTTATCAACACCGTACAAACTGTTGAAGTAGTTTTGCTTGACATAAGTGCAATTGAAGTGAATAAAATGTTCTGTAAATTAGGAGTTTTTGGGCGTATAAACCACCAGTGCCATATTCTGTGTTATTTTCGGACTTGTTCTGATCGAATTAGTAAATACCAGTGGGAAATCCTCTTGGCATCTCAACAGTGCTATACGGAAGAGGCTTTCTGAAGTCGTTCTAACCTCGAGATGTAGGTCTCCTCATGCACTCGCATGCTTCTCTGTGAAGTCGGCCTGTTGAACACACAAGAATTTGTACATCCATAAATATCTCAACAGTGCTATACGGAAGAGGCTTTCTGAAGTCGTTCTAACCTCGAGATGTAGGTCTCCTCATGAACTCGCATGCTTCTCTGTGAAGTCGGCCTGTTGAACACACAAGAATTTGTACATCCATAAAAATGCCAAACTGATCCAGGGTGGAAATTGCAGTTGGATGAGTGAATCTCAGGCTGGGGGTCATATTTCAGTCCAAAAGCAAAAGAAAAACATGTTTTTTACATTATTTTTTTTTTTTTTTTTTTTACATTGTGACATAATTTCTATGACATTTCTGTACATCTGCCCCCTCGATTCTCATTAGAGTAATGTAAAACATCTCATTAATAATGCAATAAATATGTTTTATTATTTAGACTATAAATGACTATACACAGTGATAGTATTTTATTTTACAGCCTTTAATTGATACTGGTTTCACAACAAACTCTTATATAGATTATTATTGTTGTTATAGTATTATATAAATATAGATTATTGTTTTACAGTAATGAGATTTACCTTTGAGAATAATGGAAATTACAAAACCAAAAATATTCCCCATGAATAAAATGCCCATGTTACAGAATACACAATGTCCCCCCTCCAAAAAAAACAACAACAAATATTTGTCCTAAAAAAATATTGATTGTTTTTATGCTAAATTCCACTTATTTTTCCTGGCTGACTTTGTCTTCAATCATTGACTCGCTGTAAAACAATGTACTGTATTTGCGCATATTCGCACACAATGTTCCAGCTTTAAATGTGTGCAGAGAAGTTCAACAACACAAAAGCATACTGAATGCCTCTGGTCCACATCTGGAATGGTAATGTTATTGGTAAGGAAGTCATTCTCAGTAATCCCAGCATTTGTAATTTTCAGTGTTTCTACCATGTTAGGTATGATGAGATCCACAGAGTTATGGCATTCCTGGGAACTTCTGAAACTAGCAGAATATTCAAGGAAAAAAAGGAAACAGAGAAGAATAAATAAGTAGTAAACACTTCAAAACTGAATGCGGATGACTGTGATATTAAACACGCTTCACAGTGATTTCACACGCTCCCTGAGCCACACGGGTTACAATTAGCATAGAAAAAAAACAACAACTCGATAGAATCTATTGAGGCGGCAAGATTTTTACCAAATATTTTTCATGAGGTTATATTTAGTAAAGTGATATATGTAATTGACCTTCCTCTGACATTAAAAGAGAGGAAAAGCCCAGATTTACATTTAGTTAAAAGTGGTTGTAAATCATCAGCTCCAGTGGCGCAGATAGATAAGTACATGTCCTTGGCTTTTTGACGCAATCGACCCGGGTTCGATCCTGTCTTTTGCCGAACTTTTTAACTTTCTACCACGACTCTGCTGTTCTTCGGCTGGTTCTTCCTGTATATGTTGATTGACAGATGTCTCGTCCAGTCAGCGGTGAGTAATCCCAAACCAATGGCGCTGTCTCAAACTATACTTACCTCTTCCGGTTTGTCTGATTTGTCATTGTGTTTTCTGACTTGTTAATTTGTTTTCGGATTTGTCGTTGTGTTTTCTGACTTGTTATTTTGTTTTCGAATTTGTCATTGTGTTTTCTGACTTGTTATAATGTTTTCTGAATTGTTGTTGTGCTTTCTGAATTGGTATAGACTTGCATTTGCGTTTGTAATTTGTTATTTTGTTTTCAGAATTGTGATTTGTTTAGCACTTCTCGGCCACCTTACATATAAGATGCACACACAAACCACTACAAATGGGCTCTCAAATTACAGAGCGTCTGCCATTTGAAATAAAGGCTTGTCATACAGACGACAAAGGTCTTCATGGAACATGGCAGGAGAATTGAATGAACCCCATAATCATTAATCCCATCAAAGTGAAAAACGACTCGTGTCTTTCTAGCCCCTTCCATTCAGGTCTTGTCGACATGGCCTGCGGCAACCTTTGCCGTCGAAACCTCCGAAACATTCGGCGTGTAAAAACTTGTGATAGAGATGACACAATTTAGCAATCCGCCTGGTTGTTTTGTGCAATCGCGGCAGTCACGGTAATTCAATTCCAGCTTAAGTCTAGCGTAAACTTAATCAGGATATCTGCCAGCAGCTGTCTAATGTACTTTACGTTATGCAGAGAATACCAACGATATTAAGCAGGAGAGCGTTATTCAAGTTTTAATATTGGATTGTTCTTTTACAGAACCAACCGTTGGGTTAAATTTTTACATTACATTTTTAACCCAAAGGTTGGGTTAGTCCATATTTGACCCAAAGTTGGGTTGAAACAACCCAGCATTTTTTAGAGTGTATATATATATATATGTGTGTGTGTGTTTGTGTGTGTGTGTGTGTGTGTGTGTGTGTGTGTTTGTTTGTGTGTCTGTCAAACGATTAATCCCGATCAATCACATCCAAAATAAAAGTTTTTGTTTACATAATATATGTATGTATATATTTATTATGCATATATAAATACACACACATACACTATATATTTTAAAAATACTTACATATATTTACATGTATAAATGTATATTATATAATTTATATTACATATAAATATATTTAATATATAAATATAACATATTTTTCTTAAATATATACATGCATGTGTGTGTATTTATATATACATATATTATGTAAACAAAAAAATTATTTTGGATGCGATTAATCACGATTAAGTGTTTGACATCATTTTATATTTTTATATATATATATATATATATTTTTTTTTTCCAGTTTTTCTACTTCAAAATTTCACATTTAATTCCATTTCTTAGTAATTATTTGTTACATTTATTGGGAATTTCTAAGTGAAAAGACAAAATTAATGCGTACAACGAAACCCTCTTTTTGGAGTCTAGGCTTTGGCCTTATTTTAAAATATATGTCATAGCATGATTCATTAAATACAAGCCTATTATTCACATTAAAAGCTAAATCTGCTCTGACGTGATTTATTTTGCTTAGCTTTTAATGTAACATTGCATCAAAGAACTAATGGGGAAATTTACTGAGCAGTCATGTGGGAAGGCAGAACAGAGTATCTTGCACTCATTCATAAAAACATAAATAGTGGCATAGTGCCTACATGTGGCCTTTTTCTGAACAGCACACACTTCCTGGATATGGTACTGTACACTGTGCATTCTAATGAGATTCTGCAGCAGACAGGGTTCCCACGCCTTTTGACCAATGCATCTTGATGTATTTTCCAAGGTTATGGATTTAAAAGTCATTTTATAGAGAATGCGAAATGCAACTTTTAGCTTAAAATATTCTAAAATGTATGCAATACAGAGACCAATTTACTTCAGCAATCTGACACAATATGTCCAGTTAAAACAGGATATTTAATAAAATAACATGCTGGATGGAACTTGATTTTAATACCAGGATTTGACTGAATCATGAATATTGGGCATTACATATTGGATGGGAAAGGGATTTGTGATGTCCCTGGAATAAAAAAATATTTTTTTAGAGCTGGAAGTTATTACATTTTGATGATTTTTTTTTTCTTTGCAATAATATGCACTGATGAACTGTGCAAAACACGGTCAGTTTTGATGATCTGTTGACTTTAATGCTGGGAACTAGAGAAATGTATATTGACATAGGAACTTTTAAGGATCTTATTCTTTTTTAATGAGTTTTTTTCCAGTCCTGAAAATGCAGCATTTCAAGATTTTCCACTGGGAAATGTGTGGGAAAGTTAAACAGATACATCTCTTTAAATGTGAAATGTGTAGACATTTTTATATACAGATTCATTGTTTTGTCTGTGCTTAACAAATAAATCATTCAAAATACATGAATGCAGAAATAGTTGCAAAAGAAAATTCTCTAAGGACTGAAAAAAAAATGTAAAGATAGAAAGTGCGCTGTGATGTAACCCTTCTGTTATAATATACTATTCCCTCTGCTCAGTACAGTCTATGTTCTCCAGCTGTACAGCGCAGTGTCTGTTAAGGAAAAGTGTTAGTCATACTTGGAAGCAGATTTGTGTTTCCTCTGAAAATCAGAAACATGTGAAACGCATCTTCTCTGAAAGGATCATTCCAAACCTGAACCACAAAAAGAATACAACCGTTTACTGCGAGCCAAACAATGTTAGAACGGTTTTGGATAGATCAGCCATTATTACAGCAAGGACTGGGCTGGAAGGGAAAGGAAACATTTGACCTGCTCAGGTGTTTGGACACGTGGGGGAGCCATGTAATAGAAGTACAGATCAGCAGGCATGCCTTCTTCCAGCGGGGCGGCAAACTCAGCGGGGTCGATCACCTCAATGCATTTCTGTAACAAAAGACCCATCTCATTGAAGATTATTTCCTGCAACATTAAGTAGGATGTTAACAATTATTTTTAAATAAAACCAACAGGGTCCTGACAGGAAGCAGAGTAGGTCTGCAGCAGCTTATTGATAAAATCTATAATGAAAATAATCAAAAATTGATTTGATTATTGATTAATCATGATATCGAAAAACATTCTTCAGTCACGTCACTTCGTTATATAGTGAGCGGTTATAGTAGTTATAGAGAATAATGCATTTCTATGGACAAAATGCATCTGCAAAACAGTGGAGGATACAGAGTTGAGCTACTGCAGGAAAAGTACATCACCAAAGTTGTCCTGAGCAAGAATTTTTTCAATTAAACTTCACAGACTTCAGGGAACGAGCACCACCATGCGCATTTGTAGCAAGCAGACGAAGCACAATAGAACAAGAACATTTTTCTTGTTAGACATTAAATCAACCTTGACCGGTGTTTACAAGTTGCGTAAGTTATGTAACTAGATTACTTTTTCAAGTAAGTGGTAAAGTAGGGCATTACTTTTAAATTTACAATGAAATATCTGAATTACTTTTTCAAATAAGTTTTCCTATTCGTTTACTGACATCTCTCTTGTCCCCATGTTGAGAGAAATTGGGAATGAAGTGCAGAGGCAGAGACACTTCCTTCAGCCCTATTTATTTCCCTTTTGGAGTGAAAGGGCCCTTACAGATGGCCAGAAAAAAATAAGCAAAATAAGCAAGCCCAGCCCAGGGGGACAAAAGTAATGCAAAAGTAATGTAATGCATTAGTTCAACATACAAGGATAGACATGAAACTGCTCTTTATATATAAAAATTGCATAAAATATTCTTGACCAAAGTATTTAAGGGAGAAAGTTACTTTAAAAACATGCATTTTTACATTGGATGTTAAGTTATGATATTAAATCCACTATTGTTTTATAACTGTTCTAAAGACTATACAGTATTTAATGTAATTAAATTAGAAGTAAGTGTAATCAAATTAAGAATAATTCCTTACTTCTAAGGAAAAATATTTAAAGCACAGTAATTAATAACTTAGTAATGCATTACATCCAACATTAGTCGTAGCCCTAAAACAGGGTGTTCTTGTTGACTTATTTTGAGATGAGTGGTCGACTATACCAAATAAATATGAAAACTATTTTAGGGCCTATGACATATACAGAGTTCTGGCATGAAACTCTAGATGGTGCAGTCCGATAGGTCTAACTCAATCTGACCTAATGACATCATTATCACATGGCACAGCTGATTGGTTCTCTCCTGTATCGGTAGCCAATGAGCTCGCAGCTCAACATTCAAATATATGACTAGTGCTTGCCGTAGCAGTTGCAGCTTGCTTCAAAAAACCCCCCACCTACCCCAGCTCCACCTGTATAGATCTGCTACGAGGTGATTCATGTATGCTACATGGGGTTATTTCATGTATGTTATATTTGCAGCAGCAATATTTCTTACATGCTCACAGCAGCATGTTGTGGATGTATTGGCAGTAGCAAGTCTCGGTACGTGCTCTGCAGCAGCAGCGTAGCAGATCTATTCCGCCAAGACCAAATACCATGCCAATCACTCCGAGAGCTGTCATGACAGAAATACAGATATCAATGTCATCAATATTTTACACATTAACAGCTGAGTAGAATTTTCTCTTCATTTGGCTGGAACATTTTACTGTTCATTTGGCAGGAGGCCCTTCACCCAGAATCCAAAACTAGTACACTTACAAAAACAAAGAGTCTTGCGGTTTGTATACCGAACATAATTACAATGCCAAATTGAAGCAGGGGAGTAGAACAATGCTCTTTCATTACTGCATTGTTTCCCATTATTCCCAATGACATGATTCATGCGTGTTCCATCTCAAGCAATAAACAAATTAACGTCAACAGTATCATTTTAATAGGAGTAAAAATAGTACGCCTGCTGCAATTCATTGTCATGTTTTGCTTTTGTGTAATTCGTAAAACATCTTGATTCAATAAACTGGCTCCATTTCGAGGGAAAAAAACAATATTCAAAATGCGCTTTGAAGTCCCTTTCAAAACAAATAAAATATTGTTCTATTACATGATGTTCGGTGCCATTGTATCAGTGACCTAGATTTTGTGTTTGATCCCTGTTCACTGTAAGATGCTCAACTGCAGCTCTCATTATTTGTATGCTACAGCATAAAGCACCATTCAGATGCTAAACAAACCTGTGCCTTGATGTTTGATGTAATCAGGACTTCTAATTTTACAGATCTCAGATATACAGATGTACCCTGCATGTAGAAATATGGAATTAAATGGGGAATCAAATGATTGGTTATATTTCTCTGCCTTGACATTTTGAAAGTGTACTCCGAGCACGATCATTACGTGTTAATTATGGATGAGCAAATCAGATGGGAGGCAGATTTTCCGCTCAAACTGAAATTCAGAGAGAAAAACGACAATTGAGTGTTTCCCTCAATGTAGCGTAACAGAGGAGACATGAATCGACATGAACAGTGCTGTGAGGAAATCATAAGGAAATTGATGTGAAGTTTCGTAGAATTCGTAAAAAAAGCACAAGAAGAAAAACACAAAGCGTTCACATCATTTCATGAAATTGGGATTAAACCATTGGAGTCACATGAATTAATTTTACAATGCCTTCACGACCCTATTGGTTGAATGGACTTTCAGTCAAAGAATAGAAATCAGAGTACAACTTTTATGTCTTTTTTATATATGTAGTCTGTAAACAATGCTTCACTGTCATAAAAATGAAAGCCATTCAACGATTCAGAATCAGATTTGATAATAATCATATATAAATTTAAGCAGTGATTTGATCACCTGGTTTGTTTTTGATAGTAGATGTTCTGAATGGCCAATAACTTGGTAGCCAAATTGTTTTGTGAATGAAAATGTTCATTTCAAACCCTTGTCATGAAGGTGAATAAATCATGGTGAAATATCCCTTTAAGCAGGGCCTATTTGAATAAAAACGAACGGTATTAATCCAAATCATTTGCCATGTGCTTGCTGGAGTATATCATAATAGATAGTGTTCTGAATGTTGCAAATTGTTTAATGGTAACTGAGCAAAACAAATTATCAAGTATTTTGGTAATACTTTAGTATAGGGACCAATTCACACTATTAACTAGTTGCTTATTAGCATGCATGTTACTAACATATTGGCTGTTTATTAATACTTATAAAGCACATATTCTGCATGACAATATTCTACAACCCTAATCTTACACAATACCTAAACTACCTTACTAATTATTAATAAACCGAAAAATTAGGAGTTTATTGAGGCAAAAGTCGTAGTTAATGGTTTGTTAATAGCAGAAACTGGACCTTAAAATAAAGACCAGTATTTTTCCCCCTTTTTGTATCTCATCTTAGAATCATATTTTACAGTGTACAGCCATAGTACAGGTACTGTTTTGGAGTTGATGAAAAGATCAGTGAACATTGCACTGCACAGCTGACTGATTATGAATGCAACATTTATACTGTGGAATGTAAAAACAATTTACCAAGCTCTGAATAACATGACTGAACTGGTGATTTAGACTAAACAATGCACTCAAATATGTTGATTTCACATCACCGTTGTCTCGATGCAACTGTTAGGCAAGGAGCGATGACATGATATTTCAACAAAAAACATTATATATTATATAATGTATATAGATAATATATATCATTATTTATTTACACTCATATTGTTTCAAACCTGCTCGATTTCCTTTCTTCTTGAAAAAAGGAGAAAGTAGCAAAATGTTCATGTTTTCCATATAATGAAGGTAAACAGCCTGTCGAGCTCCAAAAATGACAGAAAGTATAATAAAATCATATAGTAGTACATAAAACTTGTGATATATTTCAAGCTTTTCAGATTAAATTTAAGTTTAGATTTAGCAGAGACTTCTATCCAAAGCGACTTACAACCGATCAATAGTTGTTATTTACTAATTATTGAAAATTGAAGAACATGAGAGTGAGTACATAATTACAAATTCACGTTAAATCTGAATCTTACCTCTATTTTCAGGAGTTGCTTCTCTCTGCTATGAGTGAACAGTATATCATATAGTCTGAAGTGCTGAAAAAGACTGTTTATATGGTATAAAGAATACATGAGAACCTGTAATAGTCACAGTTGTATTAAATATTGAACGGTGCAGTGATAACGTGTTTTTGTAGGCCAACCCAGAAGTTAGCATCACCTTGGTTCCCTCAACAAAAACCCAATAGGATCTCTCGACTAGATTTTGGATTATTTTAGAAAATAAGGTATGTGGCCATCAAAAGTGTATGATTCTTACACATTTTGTTCATCTTGATGATCTTCACAAATGAACACAATATTTATAAATTTAGCCTAAATACAAAAATCAAAACGTAGGCTATAAACAAACTACACACGATTTTCCGTCAACACCATTAAGCTTCCAACAACTCTTTCAGTTAAAAAAAAAAGAAAGAAATCCTTGAAAGTTTGAGTTAGAATAGTTTGCAAGAGATTATGATCAATGAGGACTAGTGAGTAGATGACTTCACCTGTTCGCATGATGATATTTAATGTCCCAAACAACCTCTGCAGTCCCATTTAGCCACTTGTGAGCAACCGCCTTTTTCAAGACAAGTAAAAGCTTAAAAATATCTCAATGGTGCATTACTGATGCATTTTATGTTATAGAATAAACAAGAAAATATCTTGAGCTTATGTTAACCAAAGACCTTATTTCAAGGGACAATCAGGATGATGGAAGCAGAAATGCTAAAATTCTCATTTCTGGGTTTTGGCCTACAAAAATATGTAATTCTTGCAGCTCTCTATTCAAACCCTTGATGTGCCAGCAATTTGCAAGGGTGTAATTATGGTCACTGTTGAGATGTTTGGCTATAATCCCTGTTTATGTTACTATGATTTGTGCCTCAAATGGTAATACAGCATTAAAATTCAACGTTACGTGGTGTTCCATGAATAATAACTCTTTTAAAAAAGGCAAAACATTTATATTAGTATTTTCAATGAACATGCTCAGTAAACTCAAGGACTAACAAGCAGTCTGCGTTACTGAGGCTTTCAGGTAAGCAGAGAAATCAATCGTGTTCAACTATAACACACATACTGTGTGTCATTTTTCAGCACTGTGCATCAGTGTTTTTTCCTTTTGCTTTCTAAAAGACGGATGATTTCCATGCAGCTTGTTATGCACCACAGTAGTCTGCATGCTTCACAGTCCGTTGCTGTATGAATTATGCATAACATTAAAGTGCCCCTATTATGGATTTTTGAAAACGTTTAAATCTGAAAGTGCACCGTGTATAGTATAAAGTTATTGTCTCTCAAAAGAAAGAGTCGACTCTGAATCAGAATCTGAACCCGCCCACTTGTTAGTCTTTTCGCGTTGGTCTGAAAGAAAATGCAAATTCATTCTTTGCCACTAGGTGCTGCTTTTGGAGCGGTAAAAATTGCAGTTTCCCCGGTAACGCTGTACACAAAGCAGCACTGCGCTCACAAATGCTGCTTTATCAGGCATTACAGGCATGATGAAATGAAAATGAGACCAATCGGACCAATCACCACAGTTAAGCGTCACACAAAGGAGAGGGTTGGAAAAATGAATCGTTGAGCGAATCGTTTGGGAGTCATTGAGCAAGTAAGGAAAAAATAAATGCATAAGACAATGAAAGTGTTTTTTGACCTTGCATATATGTCAACCTGTTGTTGGGGACTCCCAAAACCAAAGTATGAACCTTTCATTACCCATAATAGGGGCACTTTAATTATGAAGGATTCTAGTTTGCTTGTTGCCGGCTGTCTAATAGCAAAGCAGCATCTTGCATCAATTAATAATATGCGACGGGTTGAAAATGACCTTTATCCATATTCAACAATTAAATGTGTGCTTGAGCATAATCATACGTATTTAGGAGGAATGTAATTAAAGGACGGATGTGACATTGTGAGACATGTTCTTGAAGTAATCTGTGATGGCTTTGATTTGATCGGTGGTGAATAAAAAGCTGGCTTTAGCTTCCGTTGATGGAGATTGTCTGGTGGCAAGTACTGTTTGGGTAAATGCCTTGAAATTATCAGCAAATGATGACTGTTTATCTGAAATAAAATGCAACAGGCATTGTCTGTGTGTGTGTGTGTGTGTGTGTGTGTGTGTGTGCGTGCGTGTGTGTGTTTGTTTTATTATTATTATTATTTATTAAAAAAAAGTATTATGCTTGGTGAATTCACACCAGATTCTTAATCAAATGGATTTTTAAAATATAGTAGACCTAAAGCAACAACCATGTTTGACTTTCAAACTAAACAAAACTTGATTTCAGAGAACGCCACTTACTTTTTATGCTGTCAAGTAGTTGCTGTAAAAGTGCCATGATAAATGAGATTTGATGAGAATTGAAGTTCATCTCTTTGGCCCACCAAAATCCACTGACAAAATGCTCCAACAGCGCAGCTTCTTTCACACATGTTTGGTGGTTTTTGAAATTCAGTATGTCCTCAAACTGTCTTAAAATGCAAGATATTATAAAAGTCATTATATATGTAAATTATACAGTCTATGGTTTTACCCCACATGTGCACATAGGTTTGACAAAAAAAATGTCTCATTCTGAAAATATAATTATATTTTTCTTAAATAACATGTAGGCTACTCATTATCTACAGGCCTTACTATTCTCATATCATTATAACTGTGATGTTCTACAAAACAACAAGCTTTACAACACTTTTTTTTTACTGCTGAAAATTAGATCACTGTGAAATCCGTTTTACCCCAAGGGGGCGTTTTCCCCCACTCTACCCCTATAAACTCGCTATAGCCTTCTGAGAAAAAAGTCGGAATTGTGAGGTAAAAAGTTCGAGATTAATTTTGATTAGAACGTTTATAATTAAAACTCACATATCCAGATTTTTTATTTGTACTTTACAATTCTATATTTTTTCCACAATTCTAAACAAATATTAGATAAACTAGATAAAGCGCGTCTGTTAGGATATATGATGTTTTCAAGAGTTAGGGACAGGGGGAAAATGACTCAAAATTTTCCATCTTGACAGTAAACCTAATAAAAATTCTGTTCAGTTAGGCTACAAATAGTTTTGATAGTCACTTCTTGTGATGCAAGGTTGGTGTTTTTATGTGAGTGTGTGGGTGTGTTTACATGTCACATAGGTATTCATTTCATTAGAAAAGCCTATTCCCGAGTTGTGTGGAAAACAACATGTTTCAACATGTTTTCAACAACTCACAGATTTACTTAAGCCTATCACTCCATAAAGGTATCGCTGATAATTGAATGGTTTACGATTCAGTTCGATCAAATCATTTAAATCAATCTGATTAGCCATTTGGACCACATTGCACCTCACAGTTTATTCTTGAAAATAAAATACTGCTAAAAGTTTCAGTCAAATTGTAGCCTACTACACTATAACAAAACACACCCTAATCACTGAAACATATACGCTACCAAAACATAATTTAAACAATTCGGATAGATCGAAATACTTTGTATTTTTCTTTATCAGAGGGGAAAAGTAATAAATAATACTAACTCGGTTAGGTATTAAGAACAGCAGTCCCGCCCAAATGATGTGAAAGGTAGGAAGAAAACAAACGTAAAACGAGCTTTCGTTTGTTCAGACTCGAGAGGAGCACAGAGTGAAAACCACAACTTTCCTTGCTTCATTAATCAGCCTAAAACTCTGAAAGGCATCATGCTTGTCAAGTTTATCTGCGCTGTAGTCACCAGAACGTTGTTTATTTTAGTGTCTCTCATTGGTGTATGGAGGGTGACATGGGTTAAAAATAATAATTTATACTGGTTTCTGACTATCCTCTATCTACCTCTCGTGGTTGAAATGATTTTAACTCTGAGAAGAAGAAAAGGGAAGGATTACAAATGGTAAGTCATCAACATTTATTTTTGCAAACATAAGAATTTCGAGAGCCAAACTGAACCTTAAAATAAAATATCATCTAGTGCAACTTAAATAGGCTACTTGTGTGAAATTTGACAGTGCAAGATGTGACATATTGCTGAGTGACCCAAACTCTGTTCTTTAGGTTTTCTCCAGCAATATTGTTTTTCCTCATCAGCATTATACCAACCATATGGATCCTTGAGTTGCACCGTCAGAAAAACAAATCAAGTGATACTAAGGTAATAGTAAAGGAAAGTAATGGTAGATTAACACCTTTCATAAATACATTTTAGATTCTCTCTTCTGTGCAAATACATTTCATGCTGCCCTGAAAACGTAAGACAAATAAAAACCTGTGTGAATCCCAAAGCCAATGCCTGATGCATTATATGCTGATTATTGCAGTGTACTAATCTGGATTCATCTGAGAGCATCCAAGCATTTCTTGATGAACGGAGAAATTTGACCAATGGAAGCTTGAGTGAACAGGTACTGCCTCTTTGCCATTCATACTGGTTACAGACATTTTCCATGGAAGTAGACTACAGTAATTTCTGAAAGAAGACCCGAGCCTTTCAGACATTTATTCACTCTAAAAACTCTTTTGCCTCTAAAAACATCGTCTAGCTAGGGCGATTTGTAAATACAAATGTTGGTTCAGCCCTCAGTACAAACAAGACCTGCGTTCATGGTCATGCATGGTTCATAACTACTGTTATTTCTTCAGAAGTTACCACACCTTCACATACTGTATGAGATTTACAGGACACGCTTTATGTAAGTGTGCCCTCAGTTCTTCCAGAGAGCAACACTTCATAGCTGAATACTCACTTTGTGGTGGTATTTTAGGACCCTCTGAAATTTTTGTCATCGGTGTGTGCCAATGACTGGATCCTGGCCCTTCAGCAAATCGTCCTGATCCTGCTGATAGTGGGGAAGTGGCTGCTACCGATCGCTGGAGGAGTCACCAGAGATTAAATATCCCAGTTGTTACTCATCTTTGTAGGCACAGCTGCTGATATCCTCGAGTTCATCAGTGAGACGCTCGCTGATGTGGCGTAAGTGTTGTTTGAGACTAAAATAAAAAAGCCCTGCATAGTCTACATTTTCACATTTATTCTAATTCTCAGCAGTGTTTCTGTTAGGTGAGTGTTATTAACCCTATAAATCCTACTGTATCATATTTGATACATAGTTTCTCTGTTGTCTAATTGATAGTTTATAGTTTTTAGCAAGTAAAAGGCTTGCAAAAACGTCCCCCTACAGGTTGTGGTGTGCATGTCATTATGCTGCGAAATCTATTACTTGATTATTTATGTATTTATTTTTTAAAGAAAATCATATTAAAATTTGAGCATCATGTATGATACATCAGGCTTTTGAAGAATGGTTATGTTCATCTCTCAGTTATAATTGTATTGCATCTCATTGTATGTTTTGCCCCACACAATAAAAACTACAGAGCTTTGATCACAAGCTAAGCATTCAAAAGCCATCTTAAAGGTGGGGTAGGCGATTTTTCTCTGCGGAACAAAAGAAGGCTTAAGGCAAGAAGTAGGACCCGTGTAAATATCGGATCAGCTTTCCAGCACTGGAGAGAACTCAAGGAGCGTAAGGCCTGCGATCAGACGCCAAGGTTGCTTTGTTTCTTCTTGATAGGTGAGTAACACCATGTATGCGCCGCAACAGCTAAAGTCTGTCTAGTACACTGGACGCGACAAAGCGACCGTTGAAAATCATTTGAAATTTGTGTCAATACGTCATAAATAGAACGCAGCAGCAGTTTTCTTTCGGGGATTTGTCGTGTCGTGCCGCGCCGCATCCAATGTAGACCATAGATATGTATCTATGGTGTAGACAGCATCACTGATTATAATGAGTTCCATAGTATTTTGTCGCGCCGCGCCACTCGCGTCTGTTGTAGACATGGTGTAACATTGGTTTTGCTTTGTTTCACAGAACTAATCATTGCCTGGGTTGCGTACGTAGCTATGTGTGGTGCGGAGCTATCAAAATAGGGGCAAGACCCTTTTGGGGTAGGGGCGTGTTTGTTTTGGTGATTTCAACATTGGCTACCAGAAATCGCTTACCCCACCTTTAATAAGACAAATTATTGGGAAATATAGTGTTATGCAAGTATTCTGCTTTACTCTCATAAGGATCTCACTGATTTACAGCTATCAGAAGTTCATCTTTCCTTTTGGTCACATTAATATCAGCAACGGCACCAAATTGCATATTTTTCCTCAGCTTGGGTCTCTGAATAAAATTGAGGTGTTTTTTCTCCTCAAGTATGAGCTCCATATGGTCAAACAAAAATCACAAATGTCATTTTTTAAGATTTTGTCTAAACAGTTTCATTAAATAAATAATGCAATATATTTTTTCTGACTACTACTTCATATGTCAGACTTTATAGTTGCTAAACCTTTCTGTTTACTTCCAAATTTAGTTGAAATAAAGTTTCTGTGTAGTATAACAATATATCATATTTCCTTATATTCTGTTCCTTGTTCTAGGGAGGACAGTACACCGTTTGTGTGTATTATTCTTGCGGTCTGGACATTGAGCATGCTACAGTTTCCTTTGCATTTCTCAGGTCTGTACTCTTCCATAAGTGTTGTTTCATACACAAAAATATGAAGTCAATTACGACATTAATTATAGATGCAGAACCTGAAGTATGCATAACCATAACCAAGAACACCAATATAATTGTAGTCATTGTTGTAAAGTTCTTTCCTGTTTTTCATTGGCATCTCTCAGTGGTGAACACCAAACCTGAGGATTTCTGTGAAAGCCAGGATGACTCTCTCATTGCCAAGTTCAGGACAGATATGTGGGACATAGCGGGAACCATTTTTCTTCAAGATGGCCCCTTCTTTGTTGTCCGACTAGCAGTTATGATTTCTTTCTCTGACTTTCATCAAATGCTGGTCTTCTTTACCATTAAAAACTTCCTAGTAGTGTTGATTAGCATCTACAGGCTGTGGGTGATTTGGATAGATAACAAACCTTGACATGTACAAACAGGATCTTGTTCAGTCAATAAACTGCAGTGATGATTCACTGACATGAACATTATTTTGTGGCACTGTGCCAGTCACAGTGAAAAATCTGATTGTGTTAATCATCTTGATTCATTGTAACAGGACAGCTTATTAATAATGTATGCATGTACACTATGTTATATTATTAATAGTGCTAGGCAACGATTAATCACATCCAAAATAAAAGTTTGTTTATATAATACATGTGTGTGTATTTATTATGTACATAAAGACACATATATATTTAAAAAATATTTACATGTATATATTTTTATTCATATAATTTATATTATATATAAATATATTTAGTCCTATTTGTTGTCTTTAATAAACATTGTATCCCACACTTTGAATCGCAGTAATACTACACATAGATACTTAAATCAAATAACAGTAAATAAATAACCATATATATACAAAAATGTTCTAATTCTTCCACACATCTAGATTTACTCATCAATATCTCAGATAAACAACTCAGGTAAGTATTTCAGGTAAGTAATACAGGTAATACACAAACGACTCGGATAAATGATACATGGACTTCTCTATGACACAAGTACATTAAAATTACACAATTTCACAAATTGAAACTAATTATTTGAATATTAAAGCATGTAAGTTATAAACCAGTCTATATAGTTTCACTTCACACTCATGTAAAGGTACCAGGTCACGTGTTTTCAATACATATTCTCAATTTTCAAAATATTTTTTATTTTAATTTTGTTTTACATTCAATACATACATTCAATAATCACACATCATGTTCCTGTTTTAAAGACAGTCCTTGTTAGCTGATTATCAGCTTTTCTGAATTCAAGTTCAATGAGCTAGGGCCACAAACAACAGTCCCAGAATCAAGGCACTAAGGAATGTTCATTAAGAATCAAGTCCATACAGGAAACAGTCAAGTTCAAGTGCAACAAATACTCCAATTTAGGCCGTTCTCCCAGGTGCTCCAAGGAAAGTTTCAAAATGTTCATTCACTTAATTTGTCTGGGCCTTTAAATAGTCCTTTTTTTTTTTGGCCCAACAACAGTTCATTTTATGAGTGTCACAGTCCCTTTGTTGACAACAGACAATTGCAATGAATTAGGGCAGTTAGTGTCAATATGATGGCGGTTTGTCAGTACAGTTCTGCAGTGCCATCTGAGACCTGGTCAAGTGAAAGTTCATTGGGGTTCTTTAATTGGCCGGATAATAGATAAGTGAGGGCTGAGAATAATGAATTGGCATTAGTACCCATGAATTCATATTTGGTGTCCATGTGTGTGTATGGGGTGTGAATTAAAGGGGTCATATGATGCGATTTCAATTTTTCCTTTCTCTTTGAAGTGTTACAAGCTCTTGGTGCATAAAGAAGATCTGTAAAGTTGCAAAGACTAAAGTCTCAAATCCAAAGAGATATTCTTTATAACAGTTAAGAGTCAGCCACGCCTACCTAAAACGACTCGTTCTAACACGCCCCCACATGTCTACGTCACGATGTGGGAAGATTTGCATAATGCTGCCCAAATGTTCACGCAAAGAAAGAAGGCGTAACTTTTATTCTCGCTGTAGTATTGTTGCTGCCGCCATGACGTGAAGACGCTGTGTGTTTCGTTGTGAAAGCGAAACTACTTTGTTACCTTACCTTACCTTCCAAAAGAGGACGATATCCACTTCGTCATGTCTAGAGCTGAGGCTTTCACCGTGGACGAAGTGGAGTCCAGCCCGGGTTCGTCACATGTGGTTGCCGCAAGCCCGCCGGCCGCGCTGTTCTCAAGCCCGCAGCCTCTGCTCACTCTAGCCTGCCGGCCGTTCCTCACTCTAGGCTGCGGGCCGCCGCTCACTTTAGCCCACCGTGTTGTGACACTGTGTGTTTCATTGTGAAAGCAAAAATACTTTGTTTGCACCGGCCCTCCAGGACCGAGTTTGGGCACCCCTGCTTTAGGGTCTTCTTGAACGGTCTGCAACATACTTTGGTTAAATTTCTTCAGTGGGCGTGTAAAACCACACCCTTTTTACCTTGCTCTGTTCACAGCGACTCATTTTGGGGCATGTCCCTTTAAATGCTAATGAGCTCTGCTCACCCGCCCCTTTCTTCCA